GTCCAAACAAAACTCGTATTTATATAATTCGTGTATATGGGAATCAAACACGCGATTAAGTCGATTAAGTTGTGAAACAATTAATGAAATAATTTTCTCCCCCAACTATTAGTCACCCCACGAATTTATTGACCCTCTTCAAGGCCTACAGTTGGCGGTTTGAAACGACAAGCATTTGACAAACGGCTGATAATTGGAAACGACACGAGAGTGTGTGGTATATAATCCTCTTCTAAAGCCGGATCATATTATCGGCAAAAACGTCTGTATTATCGAACACTGTAGAAAGCAATTCAACTCGTTTCCCTCCCTTCCCAAGTAAAAATAAATCTATTTCTAGTAGTTTTGTGGTATGTCAAATTTAGTTTTTCAAATATAACATCCAATTTATTTAATATGTGAATAAACATTTTAAAATTATAATTATTTTATCTTTTAAAATGACATAAACCACATTAAAATGTTTGTGAATGCATGTGATATATGAAAGATAATTTAAAAAAATATTAATTAAACTTAATTTATATTAAAAATAAAATCGATTTATTAATATTACTTTTTTACACACCACGGCCATGATCGCAATCTAAATTCTTAACTCACGAAATCCTACTGCTTTCCTATTATTTGTAATAATAGGAAATCAGTAGGATAACAGTTAAGTTCGACAAATAAGTAACTAATTATCTAATAAAGTTTAACATCTGTTGACCTTTATCCGAAATGTTAAATTTCATGGCATGCGATCTAACTGATACACATAACTAATCTACCTGCCGATTATTAAAAGATCTATCCAAAATAAATACTGTATTAATGCATTATGCTTTTTACAGTATAGGTATGTACAACTTTTAATTGTAAAAATGTAATAATATTATTTTAAAAATAAACTAACATTCGTTCATTTATTAGATTATATAATTCTTTACACCATATTATTTTTTTTTTAAATGTCTTTAAAACAATCGATTTCTGTCTCATAGGCCATCATAATGATTTGTTTTTAAGCAAGATATAATTTTCAAAATACTAATTTTTAGATTTTTACTAAAAAAAATTATTTTTACAATTATATTTTTCATGTTGGATATTCGTCTGGTATAATATAATAACATAAGGGAAACAAATTAATAATCAATACCAGTTACGAAGATTTTGCGTGTGTATTAGCTGGCTGCTACCGGAATAAATGAAGAAGGAATTTATTCGAGGTATACGACCTATAGTCCAGCAATTGCCGAGGGCGATCAAGTATGTTGATCAATTAGGTAACATGCCAAATTGATACGTGACTAAGAAATAGTTGAATGTCTATCTAAATTATTAAAACTGTACAAATATATTTATGCATTGAATGATGCCGATTTTTCATAACATTTTTATTCTCTAACAGCCTTAACCATTATTTGAATATAAAACTATGCAACACAGTAATTTAGTTTATGGACCGTTTATGAGTGAACAATTAAAGAATTAAGTTTGTAAACTAAAACAAATATTTGAAAAAATCATAATTTAACAACATCATAAAATCTAAAAATATACAATAAATGTTTAAATTAATATTTTTAGTTGTATAACTAAATTAAATTATTATTGGAAATGTAGCATTAAAAAAAGTATTAAATATCAAATTTTATACATTTAAAATACATACACAAAATATCTTAAGTTATCCAAATTCATGTAATTTTGTTTTCTGTTGGAAACAATAAAATTTATTTCAGTATAAAACATTTTTCAATAATGATCTTAAGATCTTACAAAAATGAATGGATTAAAAATAAAGTATATATATATTATATAATTTCATATAATCATGGCATGTTTTTTGATTTAACTGAAAAACCATACTTATAATGTACAGAAATCGTTTTAATTTTTAAAACTATTTAACGATGACTACTAATTTTGCACAGCAAAAAAAAATCACACGGCGAATGAACATGTTGATTTCGGATACAACTATTAAAAGTTGTTTATTATGTCCCTAAACAGCCGAAAAAAGACAGTCACGATTTTCAAAAATATAAAACATTAGACACAATTATTATTATCATCATCGATGCAATTACTGAACGCAGAAGTTGCCTACTGTAAGATGGATGGATGACGAATAGTATATGAAGGTGTCGAACGGCATTACCCCGTGAGCGATTGTCTGCCATTTATTCGGCCAGCTGAATCAAAAAACCGTTTGTGGCCAGTTAATCGGACTCGATTATTCATTGTCTATAATAATTGGGAAAAGCAAATAAATGTGATCGGTTTTCGAAGCAGACAAAGAGGGAAAAATACCAAGAGTAAAAAAGAGGGAGGTGAAAAAATAAAGAATGAAAAAAAAATATATATATATTATAATAATGACGAGAGATTCCCATGTACGGATGGCCTATCAATCAGCACATCTAAACCGTAATTAACATCAGGTAGGGCGTGTAATTTTTTACTATTTTTCTCTCGCACTATATCTAATAACTGTGTTTTGTTTTATATACTTATATCTCCTTTCTTCTTTATTTCTGATCAATCCGGAACAATATTTTAGGCGACTTAACACGGGTGGGCGTAACGTAGTCGATCAGTCAATATAGAAAATAACATTTATTCAGAACAAAAGAACGAGTAATCCTTATTGGCTAAAAGAGGGTTCCTAATAGAATACATTACTATACTATATGGTAATATACATTATTATATGGTAACCAAAATCATTTAACAAGTACCCATACTCATTACACGTGTATCCGGATATTCTAAGAATGCCCATCCCAATTATTTAATTTTTGATTGATTAATAATGCTAGATATGCGTCACGATAGAGTTTAAAAAAATTAAATCTGATCAATCTTATTTTTAATAAGAAAATATTAGATATTTAAAGGTCAAACAAGTTTACAGACTTACAGTCCCGAGACACGCACACGAGTGAGACTATTTATTAAATACGTATTAAACTTTATACAATTATATCAACCACGAAAATGATTCTTTATAAAACGAAATGTAAATCGCAGTAGATATTTAACTAAATAATAAACAATAAATAAGTTACTATCCATTCTCTGTATATATTGGTATTGCTTTAAATATTGTATAGTAGGTAGGTAATCATTTTTATCAATAGACAATATTGATCATTATAATATTATAATTTTTTAGTCACTTATATACATTTGGAATTAATACATTTCAGTATTAAAAGAATAAAACTCAATTGTTAAACTTTTGGATCTAAATAATATTGTCGTCAGATTTTGATTTTTTGGTTTCGCCACTATAATGAGCGATCTATAAAAAAAAGTAGAATCCTTCATAATATGTGCTATATAATATGTGTTATCCACTTACCCACATACGCGTATACTAAAAAAAAAAAAATAAGCGTCAACACTTCTTTTCTTTCGTCGTCACCCTATACAGTCTGCAGGGAACAGTTCAGGCTGTATCGTTTCGTCGATCCGCATATACACTAAGCAGTACCTACATGGCTACATAATAGTATAATCACCCTCAGTTTGTATTATAATTATGATATTCAACGCGTCTACTTAATCAATAAAGAACTTGTTCTATAATTGCATATATTTTCATCGCGTCTTCGACGTAATTTATATTTTTTAAACCCCACAGAACCATTTTTGAACCCCCATATAGATTTGGATGTAGGTACTATCGTCACGGTGTTAGGTCATCTCGGGTTGGACACCGACCGCGATGGTATTATAATATAGACAGTCGCATATGTCGCGCGATGAGAACTCGCGCCTGTCTCGCTTGGACCGGCCGGCGACGACGTTACTTGATAATACGGCGGCAGGTGCGCGGCACTTATAATAATAATATATACCTATAACCTACCGTCATCGCGTCGCCGTGAAGATGACAAATCGGTTGACATGAGATCGAAATCCGTCTCTCACGGCATAAAATATTCTCACCCGGTAGTGGTATTGTCCACCGTCGCCGCTCTTATTAATTTTGCCGTCTCTTGTGACCAATTCAACAGGTGTGAGTATATATTTGTCATTCATTCATTTCCCTTTTTTTTCTCTCATCGTCTTTTTCGACTATTTGTTTCATTATACGTATCCCATACACACATACATAATATACTGATTGTGGTCTTTTGTGTATGACCGAGTGTCGTCGACCTCCATGAGAAAGGACATCTCGCGCATCAACCGGCGACAATGTTGACGTGTATTTGACGAGAATTATAATAAGTACACGTAAAAAAAGATATTCATCCTCCCCCACGAAAGTAAAACTGTATCAATATAGTCCATGTGATATCATCAAGAATTTTTGATTTGCATATTTTTTTTTAATCCAAATAAAACATATTGTTTGCTTTATGCCCCCGTTTATTATGTGTGAGGCACCTATAATAATACGCATGTTTAATAAAGATTGAAACTCTTTATTGTGACAAAAAAAACCTCTCGATATAGGTTTGCTATTTAGTTTATTCAAAATAAGTAGATAAAATAGGTATAGGGCTTTCAAATATTATGTAAAATTTAAAGCGATAAAATTACTAATAACTTAATATAAAACACTTAATAAAAAGTAAAAATCTTATGTAAAAATCTTATCTTGTACTACATTTTCAAGTTTTTAGATCGGGCAAAAAATTATTTACCGACAATAATTGAAAAAAATCTCTTTTATGGCTGTTTAATGTTTTTGAGTTACACCAAAAGAATAAAATAGATTTTTTCAAAAATAGGGTTTGTGTAAAAATTCTAATTTTTCTTTCAACTTATTTTGTTTTTTTTAACTCTTTCTAAAGCTACTGGGAATTTTCGATTTTGACCTTTTGAATACACCAACTAGATTAACTTTCATAGCAGAAAATATGTTTATGTTGAAAATTGGAGCATTTTTACTAACCCAAATGTTGATAACAGACAAAAAACATAACCTATTGTAAAACCAATAGATTCGCTACATTCAGAATCTAAAAATATTTATTACGTAAGAATTGTTGAGTTCATACCTGTCTAAACTGCTCTTCAAAAGTCCACGATTGTGCTTCACCCTTTCTTGCTAACAGAGATGATTCGTTTTCCTGTGCATATTCATGACCAAGAGGCGTGTCACCTGATCGACTGGATCCTGGTGGTGATTCTATATTGGCCGGTCGTCTAGAAGGTATTGGCATGACGATCTGATCGGATATTGGCATCCCATTAGGATGACGATAAACCAAATGTTGTATCATAGACGCGGTGTGACCTCCCATCAGTCCATGTGGTCCACTTGCCAAACGCCGAGCCAACTGATTAAGGGTTTCACGTTCTTCTCTCTGGAATCAAAACATTTAAATTGGTATGATATAGATAACTACGGCTTACAGAGATATAAAGATACAGACAAGACAAAAAGTTTATAATCCACAGAGGTTTTTCCATAGACTTTTTTTACTTTATAACTTAAAAATAATTTTGTTTATAAACTTTCTAGAAAGTATTGTTGCTAAATATAGTTATTGTTAGATAAGCCATTTACAATAGGAAACTAATTAATGAAATTATACCTGCATTTCCAGGATATCCGGTTCTTCTTCCGGTGAACAATCGTCATCCACTCTCCTACGGTCATCCTCATCCTCGTCATCAGTACCTTTAGGTGATTGAATCCAATGATATGATTGAGGCTGCACGCTCAAGTTCAAGTTTAAGCCAAGTCTTGAGCTATCTGTGGCATCCATAGCCATTTTCATACAATCGATTGGCAAATCGGTACTTAACTAAATAACAGTCAGTATAATATTATTAATATATTTTGATAAGCAAATAATATAGTTAGTAATATAGTAATATTAAGTAATAATATTATTTCATTCATGACATTATATGGGAAACTAAATAATCTGTCCACTTTTACTTAGAACATATTATTAAGGTATTCCATTAAATCATTAGATGCCTAATTTTTTTCTATAAATTATAGCTATTAGTTATTACAGTAATAATTTATAATATGTTATACCTCTAATATAATGTTAAAATGGAAAATTAAGAAATACAATACAAATTCAACATTTAAGACTTCTACGAATCAAATATTTCTCATGTATATTTTGTTTAAAAACGTAAGTAATATAATATAGCTAGCAAAATATTTAATAATGAACATTAGTGACAAATAAAGTCAACAAATATTAGGTCTGTATTGTTTGGCATACAATTTAATTTCAAGATAATATTATTGTTTCTATATTAATTTAATGACATAGGTAGGTATAATCATTAATCATAATAAACATTTTGAAAATCTATTGCATCCATCAGATCTCAGAAGTCTCAGGAAAATTACCTATTCCAATAATGACGTGTAAGTAAATCAATAATAAAAAAAACACTTTTTGTCCCTCAACAGACAAAAAAAAAGATCAAGCACGTGTTTCATTAAAACTACATTAGTCCAGTTGGCGTTCAGCCACACGTCATTTGGCCCTACACCGATTTCTACATACACTGGCACGGCGTCGACTGTCGAGTAAATATAATATGAGGCGATTTAGTTTTTAAATGTTACTTAACGGATTAATTAACAATGTAGAGCACGACAAATTCACGAGTAAAACAAAATCCGGTAATTAAATGGTTGAAATAAAAATTATAAAAATAAAATAATAATAGAAATAATATATAGGTACAATAAATAGGAGTTAAATAATTCCTATGAATTCAGGCATGAATTGTTTAGTATAATAAAACAATATAATAGGTTGTATAATGTCATATTTTAAATAGGTTCCTACATAATAACAAATACTGTATAGTATTTTAATTACTACTTATTAATTATAAATGTTTAATGTTAACATTTAAAATACTATTGCAATCATGACTAACCCGGAAGTTTTAACTGAAATTATTTAATTATCGAAAACCAAAAAACATCATGCAAATACATAGTTAATTTGATTTCTTATCGTCATTACAAACACAAAACCATTGATTAAATAGTAATTGAATACTTAGGAAAATATATTTTGTCCATAGAAATAATATAAACCATTCAATTTAATAACTTAACTGATATTTTCATTTATAAGAGAATATGAAACCAAAAGTGTTGTGTTTTATATTGTTTTTAAGTACCTGCATAATATCTGACTTTATCATTCTTGTTATGTGTGCTTTTATACGTCTTAAAGATTGACTGCGAATTGATTTCTTATTAAATTTTAAACAGATTTATAAATAGGTACAACCGGATGGCTGATTGATACCATGAAAACATAACTATAGTTGTGTTAGGTAGGTATCTGGTATTGTAGCAGATATTTCAAACACACATCAATTATTATTTAACAAATTTGATCGTAAAAAGAAAATATCCTCGACGCATAAGACAACGGTGTCAAGTGATTTAACATGCATTTAAAGAAATACGTTTGTAGAAGCAATAAATTCATTAGTTACTACCAATGTGGTCGACCGGAAATACGGTGAACGTTATTGTTTGATGTAAAGACACGTGACTCTTATTATTTCTTCATTCGTCCGGGTAGTGATAGTGATATGTGTGACAGGTATTATGCACGGTCGTTGGACGTTATTTTATTAATGATGAGAACGTGCTAGAAGAAATCGCGAAAGTCTATAATACCTACATATTACATATATAAATGTCAAGGGTGTCTGCACAACTATAAGGATAATAGTTTTCGAAGGAGACGTGGGATGAACGAAACAACGGCATCACCAACACACTCGCACATTATGCTGAATATTGGAAAATATTTTAGGACTCGATCAGTCCAATATCCATTCCCCGTTGATTACATACGTAGGTATACCTACACTGTCATTCGATACAGTTATACAAGGCGCGTATATAGAAACCCCTAATAATGTATATCGTGCATTTTTTGAGAATAATGTGAGTATGATTGAATCGAAAACCTATTTGGCGTTTTTTGCAATTATTAAGAGTACTTTCAGTACTTTGGTATTCATCTCATTCGGTTTTAAACGGCAACAATAAATATAACTTCTACGAGAACCGCCATTAAAAATCTAGTATTCGCAAAATGTATAACAGTTGCAGGTTTTCGATTCCACTCACAGACATAATGTAAAACAGCGCGCTCTCAAAGTTTCTAACGAACAACAAGAAACAGTCTGTATATATGATTAAACATAATGTTACCACCTACAGTAGGTAGGTAACACAGAAGTTTTGGGTGTTTTTCGTGTGTTCGCTTTTTACTTCCATCCTCGTCGAAGACGCTCGGTCTTCAGTTATACCATCATAGCAGCAGATGATTCGTTTAAAGCGCTCACACTAATGGTATAGGTGTGCTGTCATTATAAGTTCATTAATTACAGTGATAGATTCCCGTTCGCTACAGTTTAAAACAGTTTTTATTTTCGGTCACCGCCAGTTGTTAAATAAATTCCAACTACATCATTAATATCATCGCACGACTACAAACGTCACCCTTTGCACGCTTTCCCGCCATCCCTTGAAGCCAACCCTTACGCGCCCTGCTATCTACGAACTAAACGGAAAACAAGATTAGTGAACATCCGAATGACGTGTGTTATTTTGTTTTTTTCCCCTCTTTTTTTTTCACTCCTTCTCTACGAAAATTTTCGCATTCCGATACAGATGCCCATCAATTTCGACTGTTATTACTATTCCACCGTAATATCGGGTATACAAGTAAACATCGTAGGTCGATGGTCGTTAATCAAATCCGAACAAAGTGACGAAATAAGCGTCTAAGAAAACTTAAAAGTATGTTGTTAAGAAAAAAACTAGTTAGCTACCTATTATTGAAATACGATTTTAAAATATGGACTACGTAATAAAATTACTAATGATACCTATTATGAAATTATCGATTGGGACATTAAACAGATTTTAAATTTTATAGTTTTTTACAATCCTATTTATTTTGAGGTCTGATTTATTTTTGGAATATTATTTTTCTTAAAATGTATTTCAATGTACTACTTTATAAGCATCGATCACTACTTTATAGTTTACTAAGTTAATGTTTGTTAATAATATAATGAATACCTCCATATTGCAAATTCCCTTGTTTAGAAAACTATATATTTTACATATACCTACCTAGTTTTAGATTTTTTTTATACTTATCGTATTATAAAATATGTATCATTTTAATACATTGTAATATTTTGAATATAACGCCATAACTATCATACCTGAGTCATAACTTATAACTTATAAGTTATAAGTTATAAATATTTTCTTAAAATGTTTATACATCCAATTTCTTATACTTAAATAAATGTAATAACTTTTGCACTATAGATAATTGGTTTTTAATTAATATTCCAGAAATAATATTGTATTCTCTTATCATTTTGATTTCCATTTAACTATAAAGTATTTTTAACAATTTATTGATTTTTTTTTTATATACTTAATTTAGTTATTATGAGTTTATAGTACTATTGTTAACCTATTATAGTATGTATTAAAACAATAAATAAAAAAAATAATAAAACTGCCTAGTAATATGTATAATATTATAATATATAAATGTTTAGACATCCAGGACACTTGTTGATTACCTATTCAATTAGTTTTTTTTAAATATTTTGAGTATAATATTTTTTTATATAGGTATTAATTTAAATATTTCCAGTTATTTAATACCTTAAATATTGAATAACTAATAGAACATATATTTCATTAGTTTTTCCTTGAATACATTTATCTTTACTAGCAGAAAATATTATATTTACCAACAATGAAAAATTTCCATTTTATACCTTCATCAAATAAATTAAATAAAATGATTGTGTTGATGTACTTGTTATGATCAAAAGGTGTCATTTATATAAATGTGGGTAGTTAAATTCAAAATATCGACATAGTGGGCGTCATATATTTAATCAAGACCAGAGACGTATATTTTGATCTAAGATTAGTTATATACGTATGATAATACTTTTTAAATTAAATCTCACCACGCAAAATTATTTTGAATGTCATTAATAAGTAATAACTAATAACTAATTATGTAAAAGAGAAACGGTAGGTGTTGAAAACACAAAAATATTGATGCACAATACCTATATTATACTTATTACAAAATACAAACCAATAAATTGTTATTTTATGATATTTCTTAATATAATATTATGTACATACTTAGTGAAATATTAAATCAAACCTGAAATGTAATATAATTACGTATGATATTAATACGCAGGTCATTATGATGTATTGTTCTATTGTAGACTGTAATATTAATTCATTGTCAAAAATTTAAAAGCAAAGAGTAGATAATATAATTGTGTATCTATAACAATCATTAACAATACTAGCTAGTCAAATTTAAATGTATATCATAGTATCAGATTACGTTCATGGTTTAAATATTTTAAATAATTAAATATTAGCAAACAATATAGGCTATAGTAATATAATATAGCATAGTGTAGTACCTATATTACTTAAGATAACTTTAGTTTACCAAATGGGTACCTATGTTACAAACATTCCAATGAAATAATATCTTTTGTATAATATGTACCAACTGAAAAATACATATATAATATATATATATATATATAAATATAAGCTATGATAATGTATCCGTTTGCATAAATTAAATGATACGATTAATATAAAAAAAAACTAATATAGGTATATTGTGGTATACACTATACCAGTCTTCATCATACTCTGAATAACGCAACACGAATCGTCCGGTTTAGCTGTTTTTCA